TATATCATACGCATGGCCTTAAAATGGGAATTTTGAGAATTCTCTGCAGTTTAATTTAAATAAATAATTTTATAATTATATTTATTAATAAATAAATAATTTTAATCTGTGAACTTGGGGTTGAGCAGTTTTCTTGATCTGTCCGAGATGATGAATTTAGTCTAGTTACTGGTTGGTACACTATGACATGAACAAAAGTACCTTTAGTAGACCAGACAAAATTCCTTGCAGATGTGGGCGTGCAGATGTGTTATTGATGTTAAGTATCACTGTTCCTACATCTGTTGGAGGTTTAATGGGCTAGACACTTTTACCACGTACATTTTCAAGCAACTGAATTCAAACAACTGCAGGGAGTCCCTGTTGTAACGAACACTTCTGACTTGCCCTTTCAGACAGCACAAACACTCTACGAGGTCATGGTGTGCCATCTGCAGGGTGCATAGTGCCTATCAGAAGCACGTTTATAGCAGAAATCAATTTCATCACTCACATAGCTGTTAAAAATTTAATATCGAAATATATTTAACCCTCGGGAAGTTTGTGGAATCCAAATATAACTGTAAAATAGAGACAGAATTAGAAGTAAATTTTACAACAAGCAGTCTTGGGCTTGAATATTTAATACTGCTTTATGAGCATCAAAAGTATGAAGTACTTCTTGAAAAAACTGTGGAAGCAAAGGTAATTTTCTGTTTAAATCATAATAAATTGAAAGCATCATTCTCTAAGTTCTCTTTCTGTATTAGAACAGCAGGAGGCACATGCTTCCACTCAAGTCAAATGAGCAGAGCTCATCTGAGGAGATGGTCTAAAAGAACTGTGGTTGCTTTCAGAAGAGCTCTGCTCCACTGTTACAATGTGTTATTTTACTTTCTGAGATTATATTATTTATTTTTAAGAATGTTTTGAAACAATATTATTTTGTTCAGAGTGAGACTAGTCAATGGACATGAAAATGTAAGAAAATATATAGTAACTAGTTAATTAGGCTTAACTAACATGAAATGCACCTTGCTTGTAATTCCTACTAAGATATTCATCCTGGTTTGTTATATTAGACTAGTGGATTTAAAGATGCACTATCATCTATAATTTTTATGTTAAGAATGTATACTAGTTTTAAAGCCTATTAAATGCAATTTGAAATGCAATTAAATATTAAATGTGATTTAACTTAGTAATGACTCCTTTTGTGATAAATGTCTTTGACTTTTTTTCTTCCTCCTACATTCTTCTTTGGGATTTCATTTCATAGTTAGATAAATGAAACTAGAATTTCTGTGAGGATACCAGGGAGTGATGAGAGCACTGATTTTTTTTTTTTTTTTTTGTATCAGTAAGTAACATTTCTTATTTATTTTCAGTGAAAAGGGTATTTGCTTTTATGTAGTTAATTGATGTGAAGGGTTGTACTAATTCTGACTAGCAAACAAGACATGATCATAGCACTGTATATCACTTAATCTTTTTCTTATTAATTTTTTTTACTTACAAATTGGTAGATATCAAGCCTCTTCTCATGGTGGTAATTTAAGTCTGTGTTGTTCTGTAGGGTGTCACTGTGCTATAAAGCTCAAAGCAAACATACCTGATATGTTTACACTGCATTTCCTTAGAATCTTACTTACCTCATGAATCTCCATTTTTTGTTACTTGTATCAGTTATAAGGAAATTATATTTCAAGAAAATCTGGTAACAGTTTTGGGAAACACAGTACTCTGACTGGGAGCACAAACAATAGTGCAGAAGGAAATACATGAAAGGTATTAATCTGTGCTGAAATCCCATTTAACTGTGTATTGGAATTATTCTACTTTATTTTTTCCCCCAGATAATTCCTTACTTTGCTGAGTGTGGATATGACTACCCAAGGCCTACAGGAAACGCAACAAACCGCATGCAGATGAAAGCCATGGTTAGTTGAGTATTTATAATTCTTGAGTCAATTATTCAATGCAAACTAATCGGAAATTGCTCAGTGTTTTCTGTTGCATTATGTGTGTTATGTACTATGCAGTAAGGTGAGTTCACAAAACACTTTACCAAGTGCTCTGACTTTCTGTCCAAAATACTGTCTTATGAAGGACATTGAGAACTTGCGCAGAAAACTTTCAGTTTCATGCAATGTGGTGAGGAAATCAAAAGGTGTCTGGATTTGTGCTCAAATAAAACTATCAGTCAGAAGTAACTGGTTGTGTAAATACCAGAACACAGTCCATCAAGTAATTTAGAAGTACTGCTCTCCTCTGTGTAGAGTTTGTGAAGTTAACTGATGGGAGCCTCGGGTGCAGTTAGGCAGCACAGGTTTTCCAACATAACTTAAATGCTGGTTTTATGATTCTCTTACTTTGTTGAGTTACAGCCTGAATTTACAGCATATGCTGTTGTAAGAATGGTGTAGCTTTTATAGTGGAGTAACTTACCTCACCCTTCAGTGTGTCCAAGTGTCAGCACTCACTGATGTGAAGTTGTGAAATGTTTACCATGGAGAACCATTTGTAGATCAGCAAATCCAAACAAGATCTTTGTATATATGTACTTTCTCCTCTGTATCACAATCATGTGACTTAAATAAAACCCCCTTTATTCTATAACAGGAATTTTGGGCCCTTTTCTTGAAGGGAATGCCCCCTTCTCCCCCAAAAATACAAACCCAGCAGTGACAACTACTCTTGCCCTAGTAAGATTTGAAGTATCGTATGCTTTTTTCAGTACAAGAGAGCCCAAAGCTCTTAGTCATAAATAAAATACAAGAATGTAACCACAGCTTGCAGGAAAATACTTTCAGACAAGACATTTGGGTGGAAATATCCTTTCTCTTTAGAACTTTTAATGGAAGTAGATTAAAAGGAAATCAGTTCTTTCTTGTGTGCTTTGTAGAAACTACATTCATTGATCTTCGATATTTATTATTTTTTTAGAAGTGTCTTAATAGTTTAAATTATAATTGCAGATATGGGTTTACTGATATGGATTTGAGGTGTGATTTGAGGGTGGCAGGAGCCTTCATCGCAGAAAGAAAAAACCCAAACAACAGTACTTCTGTAACTAAGGATTATTTGTTGGGGAAAAAAGCCCATGTGCCACAGGACTGAGGTTGGTGCTGGCAGTATAAAGATGTATCTAGTTCTTTTGAGTGTATTATATTGGATTTTTTAAACAGGAAAAAGAATGGATAACTGCCATGGATAATGAAAAGAGAGCAAGAGCTTTTGATGAGAACAGGCAAGAAAAAATACTCCACTTTCAAATTCTTAGGTCTTTCCACTGAATAATATAATTTATTATATAAGAAAAATACCAACAGCAACTGTAGTTTAGGTTCTCCATTTCACTTTTTCCCTGATGATCACTTATAGAACAATTTCATCTCCTGGTAACATTAGTGTATACATCAGAATAATGCATTAAAACCACAGCCTGCACTCTTCAGCTATTGCTTCTGTGTACATGTATCTGGAATGAATCTTGGCTTAACATCTGCCATGTCAATATTTTATACTTCAAATTCCCACACTGAGGGATTTTAATATACATAACCTATACAATATAAAAGTAGTGAATTTGGAGATCATTGGGATACTCTGTACACAGAATTCAATGAATACAATTCAAAAGATGAAGTATAGCAATGCTGAAGACTTTTGCACCACTTTTGGAAAAACCTCCATTGAAGTTAGTTTTAATAAAATAGAAAAATATTTATCAGCAGAAGATCAATACATCTGCACTGAAAAAAAGGGGTGTTTGGGGAAAGGAATCCTCAATTAAGCACGTTCCACTGTAAATGTATCTGTTACCATACAAATGCAGCTCGCTCTCGTAGCATTCTGACACCAAAACGCTGCCATTCTCGCTGATATATCCATAGCTCCTGCGTTGTATCTAGACAAGCTAAAACTGCGCCTCCTTTCCATGCAATTAAGCGGGGATCCATATCCTAAATTCAAAACACAGATTGCACAAAATCACTTTTTAAAATTTGCATAGTTCTCAAAACTTGTATCCTATTTTTTGCAACAGTATTAACCACTTAGAATCTTGGGGGTGAGGGGAGGAAAAACTAAGTTTTTCAAAATTATTCAGGAAAAAATAGTGTGATAAATGTATGGAAAGAATATTTAAGATATTTAGACAAGTCACTTTTTTTTTTGTTTAAGATGCCTTCAAGGCATGTCATAGACATCCTGCCCTCAGCAATGGAGGGTCTGAAAAATGCTCAAGTTTTGATTTTACAAATGTTGCCTGATTAATGCTTATGAAAATATATCTTTTAATGCCATACTTTCTTTTTACCTTAATAGTAATTAAAAACCCTAACACAGTTTCTTGCTGTGCAGACAGGTTAACTTCACGGGACAGTACTAACTGCTTCTTTAAGAATATGGCCTTGAGCTAATAAACACTTCAGTGATTGTACTAGTAACACTCTTGCTATATGTCTAACTTCCTGCCTATAACGGGAGACTGCTATGTTACAAGCTAAAGCTCTCCTGAATCTCCTCAGATATGCAACCAATCTGTGGCTTTCAAAGAACATTTATTTTTTTAATCTTTTGAAGATTTCAAACAATCATAATTTATTAACCATTTAGCTAATGAGTTAACAGTATACCTTAGGTCTTGTGATGACTTCAACGTTTTCAACAACTCTTCTAAAAGAAGGTGGCATTTTGTTGAGAATTCGGTGTTGAAGAAACTCTTGAGCTTTATGAAACATAAGGCCTCCTCCCACTACTAAGATGGAGCTGTACATCTTCTTTTTTGTATCATCAGATGCTGGAATGAATGGACATACAGAAATATATCTGTTCTTTAAAGTTAACAGGGCCTGTCTTTGTATTATAAATAATTTAGTGCAGGTTAAACCAGATAGAAACCAGTAAGTGTTTGCTTTTAAAATTCTTTTTCTCTTCCTTGGAGAACTGAAAATGTCTAGCTCAAGAAACCTCAACAAAGATGCAAGTATAAGGAGCAGTGTAGCTACTCTAGAGATGGTAAAAACTTTGGGACATACATGTTACTTCAGTAAAAGATGAGTTGCCCTAAATCCACACTGACTGACATGCATATTTTACAGAATTGAACAAATGTAACTCTTACCGCAGCAGTCAATACTATGAAGAATGGCTTTGTCAAGGCCTAGGGCTTTGCCTTCAAACTGAGAAATAGCTGTTTTCCTGGACACATGTGCAGTTAAAGGTTCCTCGGAATCATTTCCAGATATTATGCAATCACTCTGGGAAGATCCCAGCTCCACTTCTTGTGGGTAGATCCTCTCTGAAATGTCTGAGGCTTGGCCTCTCAAGTCTCCCTCAAACGCACCAGGCTTCGACATAGATTTTCTATCAGCTGTAGCTTTTGAAGACTTAAAAATGAGAAAACAAGTTGAACTATGAAAAATGCAAGACCTTCAGCAGGTTATAGAACAATACAAAGACTTAACTAAAAACCACTGTACTTCTTGTCACCTTTTTGCACAGAAGGTGAAGCATTACATTATTACCTCATGTAATTTCCATTTTAATCCTCACTTTTGAAGTAAGGGTTTTACCTTGAACTCCATCAGATGTATTAATGCCATAATATGAGCCCTCTTAGACTCTGAAACTACACAGTTCTAATTAAGGTCTCACCTAGACATCTGCAATTCCTTACTCTAAATTTATTTTTTAATGCTTTTGTCCCAGATCACAAACTCTGGTTTCTGAGATGAGCTAATGAGTCCTGATTTTATTCCCCAACTAAACACCACTTAATGAAAAATAAAATAAGCATTCACACACCTGCTCTTGCTTACTTTGTGTGGCCAGCAGATAATGTTCATCATGAGGATCCTCAGGGTCACCTTGCGACCTTTGTTGCAAAGTTGTCATTTTTTGTCCAACAATTCCAAAAGTTGCTGGATAAAACAGAGCCATTGGAGCCTTCAGAATTAGAAATTTGACATGGTTTAATAACATAGGGGTTTTTTTGGGTATTTACTATAAAAAAAGAAAAAACTTGTTCTATTTTTCGCACAATTGAAGATTAAATACACGTTTTTTCAAATAGTTTTGTAAAAGGCTAAGGTGTCTTCAGCTTTGTACAATTAAAAATAAACCAAACCATACAATTGTACATATATATAGGTTTCTTTGCAGATCTGGCATTGTGTGATAAGTATTCAAATGCAGTTTGTTACAAAACTAGAAAATTCAATGCTGGGGTGAAAAACTTGCAAAATTAGCATTCATTCCTTGCACTTGAAGGATAAATATAATCGTATTTAGTTGAAACTACAACTCTGGTGAAACCTAGTTAGGAAGTCTTGTGCATTAGGCCCATTCATACATAAAGGAATTAATTTAAAAACTATCAACAAGCATATGTTAAGAACAATCCATATATCATGTGGGCTTAGCAGCACTGGACCAATACAAAGTGGGGCTCTGAGCCTTAATGCTGAATATAATTCTTGCAATTAAAAAAAAAAAAAATCACCTGTAATTTTTCATCTCCTAATCGGAACTGGTATAATAAAGCTGGAGAATCTGGATGACGAATCTGGAACTCATGGTCTTGCAATCCAGAAATATCCTAAGGTCAAAAACAATGTAAAAAATTGTATCTTTTCTCTCTCTCTATCAAGCTGCATAATCTATTTAAGCTGTAGGAAACAACTAAAAGTAACAAAACTCTTCAGACTGTAGTATTCTGTAAAGTAAAAAAAAATTACTTGGTGAATATAACATTTTCCCTTCTCACCTGGTCTAGATGACAAAAGGTCTCCTTTAAGTGCTGAAGCAGCAGACAATCCAACTTATTAGTTAACTGGCATTCTCTGTATGGGAATCCTGCTCGTTGCATAAGCCAGTAAAAACACCTTGACACATCAGATCCTCCATATGCAAGGCACAGCCTGAAGCACAGAGAATAAAAAGATTATTTTATTAATTTGCTGAAATACTGGCCTACTACGGTGCCATAAGGAGGAATACAAGCAACACTTTAGACATGCTGTGATGATGACTTCCACATAGTTTGCAGAGCACAGTATCAGTTCTGCCTGTTTTCTTCTTTTAAAGATGTCAGAATTCTTTAATGTTCATATCATAACATGACGAATCTGTCACACAGCTAAAAAACCCCCTGTATTTATAAAAACGCTTTCTTGTTTTTCAAATCAAATCTTTAGTAAGTTATGTACATGCTTATAATAATTCTGAATATTAAGAGATACCTGGTGTTGCGATGGGAAACACCATCTTCTACACAGCAAACACTTGTCTTCTGATCTCCCACATCTACTATACATGCGCTGCTTAAACCACTTCCAAAAGTAGCACAGACAGACTCCTGGTGTACAATAATTCCTGGCAATATGAGAAAAAATCATATCAAATCTATGCCAAGCCCCAGAGCCATGTTGCTGCCATTTAAAGGACGTCTTAATGTGTTTTAACATCTACTAATAGCCTGACTCTGCACTGAAAATTTGTATATTTAGTGAAGATGGGGTCGGACGGACTTACAGATTTTTTGTTGGGTAGGCCCTTAAAGTCCTGAGATAAGCTAAGGCAGGGTGGAGGCCTATATTCAAATGTTCTTATTTTTGGCAAGTTTAAAGACAATGCCTCCAGACTTGATTTGTTTTTGTAACCAATATTGCAGGGTCTTGGTTATCAGATGCACATGAAGCATTTTCCTATTTTTTTTCTAGTTTCAATCAAGTATTATTACCCTTGGTATTTTAGATATGTTCTTTAAATAGTTACTAAACAAGGTCCAGCTTCACCGTCCGCTTTCCTTTCAATCCACCTTTAACTCTGTAAAAGAGTACTTTTGCATTTGTATCACAAGCCCATACTTACACCTGAGAAGTACAGGATGCTTCAGTCTATCCTAACCAATGAAGGAAAAGAATAGCTCAGTTGAGCTGCGCTTTGTAGACTAAAACTAAGTAAAATTACTGTTTTAAAGGCAAATGTTTTTAAACAGATTAAGATAATGCTGTATAATTAGTATAATTATTTCAGCTCTTCAACAAATTATTCTTTAGGAAATGGCACTCTGAAGAGGTAATGATGCTTTCTGATTTTCAGTTTCATGTATCAGATGAATATGAAGCTTTGTATTGTTTTTCTTAGTATTCTTCTTGTTCTGAAGCTAACACATTTCAGCTGCAATTTCTTCTATCCTAGTGCTGGTACATTTTTTACACAGCAATATTATTACGTACTGTTCACATTACTTCTGTGTAAAAACTGAGGAGGAATCAAACTATGATTTAGAACCATTCTGATCAAAACTAAACGGCCAATATGGCTTGTTCATTTTAATACAATGAAACAAATCAAATATATACATATATATATACGTATATGCATGTGAACACAATTTAGATCTCATGAGATCAGTCTCTCTTTTTGCAGTGTTTATTTACCACCTACTTAATTCTTTCAGATGGAAGTCTCTTTTTTTGCAAAAATTAATGTCTTCTATTAGATACAGAAGAGGCTAAACAGGTTCACTATTTAAGCAATATTATCTAAGCACATACTCTGCTGAGACTAATACTTGGGAACTGTTGGTACTTCATACTGATTAATTATTAATCAACAGCAGTATTAATCTCCAACATCTTACAACTAATTTACTGTTTGACTAGCCTCTATAATTTAATTCATTATTCTTGTCCATTTTTAAGCCTCTTTCCTTGCATACCTAATATAAAAAACAACTTTGCAGCACCAAAGGTGCTACTCTCTGATGTGTTTCAAATTAAGTATGCTCCACATGGTTGGGTTACTGTGCCTTCTGTAATGACTTGCTGTGTTGTCTCTAGTGTGAAATCAGAGAAAAACGTCTAAGACTACAGTAATTCCTTCCTGATGACTAGCTAGAAACTTCCAGCAGTTTAACTGAAAGTAAACTTCTGAATTGAGAAGCCTATGGTCAGAATACCTAATAGCAAACAAAGAAACTTGTTTCAATTCTAGCCAACCTTTTTGCCTCATCAAAAGAGACAACAGTTATGGGAATAGCAAAAGATGAAAGGTGCTAGTCCCAGCCAAACTAGGATTGATGTGCAATAATGTGCCTTAAAGGGAAAAAAAAAACTATTAATCACTGAGCACTTGCTTGTATATGGTTTTACCTGAGAAGCCCATCTTCATTAGGATCATATTTACCAGTTCTTTCACATGTTGTTTATTATAGATGTCTGGAATTAGTAAAATGCATCTGTAGTACTGAAATAAGAACAGTAAATTAAACCCCGCTCTTTAAATTGAGTCTATCTTTACATTCTCGAATACCTGATGCTAAGGAATAAAGTACAATATACAAGTTATTAAAAGAAGCAAAATTATGGCAAGGGGGAAAGTTTTTCATAATTTGAAAAATGAGTTCAGAGTAAGTACCAAGGTAAGAGTTTATAGGCCACTAAAATGTTTAATGTACATCAGATATAAGAAGAAACACCTATTCCTCAAGGAGAAGAAATTTATGCAAGTGTAAGGCAACCGTTCCTCAGTCACCTCCTTTTTAGTCAACACAAAAAAACCCCTAACCCTGACTAAGACTGTGAAATTTCTATAGTGTGATTTCCAAACCTCCTGGTTAGAAGTTCTGTTAATGATTTTTGTCTCAAAGACATGCACAGAACTCCAAATGAAGTCTCGGGAACCATGCTCACCAGCAGAAAGCATTCATGAAGAAAACCAGTAACAGCAGGTTGCTTCTCTTTTCTAGTAACACTTACAGAAGTGGCTACAGCCCGCACTAATGTGTTCACAGCTCACCTTTAAATCTTTCAGTGGTATTTCCAGATATTTTTGTATTGCATGTGACCATATAACTTCAAGGTCTGTTAGTACGGCAGTGAGGGAGCCACCAGGTCCTGTGTGGAGATTCAACTGCCCTCTTCTAATAGGCCAATGTATATTATAGCAATCTAGTGGATTAACATACAGTGCCTGAAAATAAGAGATGATGATATATGCATTGCTTTTCCCAAAAGATTAGTAACAAATGTTACAAAAATATTTCAGAAGCAGATACAAGACATAGAGCAGCACTCAGACTGATGCAGCACTCAGCAATACAGTGGGTTTATTTAACAGGGCTTGAATATAAAGCATTAAAATTAAAAAAAAAAAAAGACATTAAACACATTGTTTAAATTGTTTGAATTTTCATATTCAAGGACATCTACTATGAACATAACAGTATATTTTTCCATTACCTCAAATTAGTAACTAAGATAATTTAAAGATTCTTTGAAGCTCATGGATACCCGATTACTCAGCAGTGATTCCACATACTGATGCCTTTACCAGTTTCTTGTCTTTTTTATGGGTTATACCACATGAGCAAAGTTCTCACATAGTCCCTGCATTAACACTGATTTATAGCAGCAAAGGATCCAGGCTACTTGCTGGGCAAATGGAGGAAATTGTCTGGTCTTGCTGAATGTCAATAAATATCCAGTTAGTTCATAGTAAAGCTTCTCATGTGTTGCTTGACTAAATTTATATGCCTTTCAACACAGACTAACATATGGCAAACTGCTACTGATTACACAACTGCATTAAAATATAATACTAACCCTCATGAATCTTACCTCTTCTCCTACCAAAAATTCAGGATGATTTGATGTGTTTGTCCACTTGGCCCCAGAGCTGTGATCTAAAATAGCTGGCCGCATCTGTCTGTTGTATGACCTGGCCTGAATTGTAATAAAAACAAATGCTCTTGATAACTATTTTACCAGTCATTTTTTATGCATGAAACAAAAAATGCCCCCCTCCACCCCCTCAAAAACCATTTTAAATCTTCATTTTATCGAATCCTCAAGAGTTAGGTCACACAATAACACTGTTTCCTGTATAAAGGCTATCTGTTCTTGTCCACTAAAACACAGCATCACACCAAATAACTAGACGAATGAACAATTTAATAAAATCTGAAGAATGAGTTACCTGATCAGGTGACACTGGTATACGCCTTGCACCGTTTGACATCTTTTTGGACCATATTGCTTGGTCCACCATTTTAAGGCCATTTTGTCTCTGCTCAGTACTTTCAGGTTTCTAAACAAAACCCACAAACATGCAATGTAAATACTTACTTTCCAACTACATGTGTGTATACTGGCGATACTGAAGCTATTGTTAAACAATGAAATCATTACTGCAGTGGATAGACTGTAGAAAGGACAGAGGTTTGTACAATGTAAAATGAACATATGCTTATTTTTAAATAAAACCTTTTTTCTATTAATTGCCAACACCTATTTGTCTAAGTCAACTTGAATCTTCTAACTGATTGTAACGACTGCTGGACTTCATCTCCAGAGTGATGAGCTCTGGATGTTATTTATTTAACTACAGAAATATTAAGTAGGAGCAAAAATGTTTAAATAGATCTCCATTATTTAAAGGTGAGGTTTAGTATTAGAGATTAAATTGATTAATGTTTTTTTGTACAGATTCAAAGTATGAATAAGATCACTACGTATATTATTCTTGAGCAGGTTGGATTAAAATTACTGGCTATGCTATCCACATTGCAAACCAAGTTGTAAGGAAAGCATTTACAAACGGAGCAGTCTGATTCTAGTTCTACAGCTGTCATTCTATAACCACAAATACTGTGTGACACCAGACCACAGAGCAGAGAAATCAACTGGTACAAACCCTCAGCCAGCCCATTGTTAGATTTAGTTCATTGTGAACAAATGGAATAAAGCCCTAACACAGACTGGGGCAAATCTACTGACTTCATTCAGTAAGGGGGCAGGAAAAAGTCTGTCTTGAGACACAGTCCCCTCTGGAAAAACATAATGCACGGGGGGAAGATGCACATCACACAACAAGAAAATGCAACAGAAATACGCGGTTAAAACATCCATTTGAGCAAGTTGGGTGCGCGCCCGGCTTACATTGAGCCCGTCCCTGAGGAGCCAGCTGTCCCTGTAGGCCGCCTG